CTACTGGTTATAGTTGTTTATAACTACTGGTTATAGTCGTTTATATCTACTGGTTATAGTCGTGTATAACTACTGGTTATAGTCGTTTCTAACTACTGGTTATAGTCGTTTATATCTACTGGTTATAGTCGTGTATAACTACTGGTTATAGTCGTTTATAATTACTGGTTATAAGTGTATTTTACCGTTTGTTTCATTGTTGCTGAAGTTTCTCTTGTGTATGGTATCCCAAACATCTTCCGTTAAATTGTTTGTCACCTCCACATTGTACACCACCATTAAGCATTATAAACTAATCACGCTTCAGATGTTTACTATATCAATTTTGTCTGCATTTAAGCTGCTTAAGACAGATACAACCATCCTGTTGTCAAGATGATAAAAGTCAAACTGTTAGGGGGGAACACCAAGGATAAACAGTCTGCATGATCAATGTTTTGGTCTGCAATAGTTTAGTTTAACTCGCTGTAACAATAATGCACCTTCAAACTATCGGTATTTCAAAGGGAAGAAACATTGCAACACTTTTATACAACTATTACATAAACGAAGTAAGATACTTTCCTTTCCCGACCCTTTGTTTCCATTCAAACATGCTGTCTTCTCTACATGATAGTCATATCCTGATATCAAGTATGCAATATACGGTTACCCGACTCTTTAACTCTCTGACAATCATTATGACGTAAATTATAGACTGACCAATTTTAGACCAAGATTTCTTCCATCATATCTAAGAGTTGCTTACTCTGCCTGTAAGGATAAGATGTCAACAATTCATTCACTACACCAGAGTATGTTGCATGTATCGGGATGTTGTGGATAGATGTGTCCTGTTGACCAATTGACTACTTAGACAGTGTTTTCTACCTGAAGATGTTCAATCTACGTCAATATGACCTGATTTCAGTCTATAAGAGTTTAGTGTCTACCTTGCTTAAATATTTACCACTGTTTCTTCGATAGTAGGTGAGCTTCATGCAAGTTCTACTGACTACTTTGCATGTCTGTCATATGTTTGCAAAAATTATACCTTGTCGCTTTCAATTGGCGACGTGCAAGCAGGAACAATATTTATTTCATGTTTATCAAAGAACTGAATATCATTTGCAAAAGGTCTAGTTTTTCTGATTTACGGGTGCAACTCGCCAAGAGATATTGGCATATTAAATGACCGTTTGCTGAGCACGATCTTAACTTACTATTCCTTTCAGAATATAGTATTGGGATGTTAACATTTAACATTGTTATCATGCGCCCACACATCATCGGTTAATTTCCATATTTGAGTACACACCCTTGGGAAAAGGAATCGACACCGCTGTCGTGTCGCTCGGTTATGTAAAGTAGAACTATTTCGAGTGATGATATCCTTTTAAGAAAAGAATATTGTCATGTTGTGACGTAACATTATGTTATAAAAATAAACACCTGATGACTTTGCGTTTGAGACATCCGTCTCTTGGGTCACAATTCCTTTATACATGTGTCAATCAGTATCCGTATGATTGCTTTCACTTATAAAGATAATTCATCTTATTAGAGGTTAAAGTAACTACATCGTGTACTGTGTCTAACAAAACGTTAATTAGGTATAAAGACATACTGTCCTAGGGCACACACGTTAATTAGGTATAAAGACATACTGTCCTATGGCACACACGTTAATTCGGTATAAAGACATACTGTCCTATGGCACACACGTTAATTAGGTATAAAGACATACTGTCCTATGGCACACACGTTAATTAGAGTATTTAATGAACCACCTTGTTAGGTCTGCTATGGTGGTCATCAGTTCCTCTGGAAGTCCTCAGGACAACGAACAATATTGAACATCGTAGAACGACTGGTGTATAATTTACGGAGTTATTTTATTGAGTTTGTGGATATATTGTCTCGGAAACTTGATTGTCTTTGGGTGCGTGATGAAATAAGGAGAGGCTGGACATCTGACACACACTGACCGCTACGGTATTGTTTACCACACAGCCTCGGGGTATTACCTGTTTCCTGGACACGGTGTAGGTGTGGGGTCAATGTCCTGTTAGTATAGTTATACAAAAGACCATATAGGTCAATGCTCTGTATAATAATAGTCATCATAGAAACTGATATCCACGTATTTATGTCATTTACGTAAAGTGGATATCCGACTTGCTATAATGAAACTTCGGAGGAGGGATTAGGATTAAGAATTTACACACAAGAATAGAAACGTTTATATTCTTGACCATCCATTCGGTAAAATAAACACTGCATTTTTGAGGTGTGTTATTGACAGAATGCTTTTGATGTGTCTTGTTAAGGTATCCATACAACCTAGTGCAATTAATCTGGCACGAAAACCATAAACTGATAACCGTATTTATTTCATTGTTGTGACGGCCATTTTGTGCGATGTTTTGATTATAAACAAACGCGTTAAATTGGTTATATTTATCTATAAACACCACGAGAATACCGCAGTGTCAACAAAGCCGTATTGTAAACTCTAAACCTATGGAATGATGGCGAATATGAAACAATAAACGATTTAAATGGATACTGATGAACGGAGATAATAAGACCAGGTGTTCCAGAAGAGTAACCTCAACTGCTTCATCGACAAACATCGAAAGCTATCGCCAATCTCAATCTAGTAAAGTTCATGATTATCAATCAGCTTATACAAATAGATACCGCTCGTTCAGTCTTATCCTGTTTTTGAGTAGGAGTGTTAAAATAAAAGATAAATCGAGTAGCCAGTTCAACACATTGGATGTCAAATATAAATTATTTCATTTCAGAATACAGTTAACATATTCTAGTAGGCTTGACGCGGAACACGCCATATTTTGTAAAAGCTCTTCATGAACAGATATAGAATAAAGAACACATAGAAAACCGTTAAAATATTTATTCCAACAAATGGGAAACATGTTTTCATTACAATAACGAGTGTGAGTCTCAATAGACCAGACTACACACTAGGACAGGGAGAACACGGACTAGTGTGACGTAGTGTCGGAACTAACCAATAGAGGGCGTCCTTGTATAGGTATCATACAATAAAATACGTCGATTGGTTTTATTGGCTAAAACGCGTCATGTTTTTCGTTCTCTGATTGTTGAAATTTAAAAATTACAGAAAGGTAGAAAAATAAAACTAGTGAGTGTTTTACAGGTAAAAATAATTAAAACTTTAGAACTATTAAATAGCCTACTCCCGATTTGCTATGGACATTATAATGCGAAATTGGTCTCCTACTAAATAGCCTACTCCCGATATCCCACATTATATTGTAATGTACATTTGTCGCAAAACACTGTCTACCGACTGAAACTTCATTTTAATTAATTATTACAAATACATAGAAATTAAAAAAAAAAAAAATGCTTAGAGTGCGAGTTTTTCGATTACAAAGGCCCAGTTTCCTTTGTTATAGATTACTTGAAGTTATAGTGATGGTAGGAAAGGGAACGTGAAACAAAACGTGTATTGGATCATAAAACAACTTATATTGACCTTCAGCGCAATCTGAACACAGCACTGGTGTTTTAACATGTCGACCATTTTGTTATATTTTCGGTGCAAATATATATATGTAGCATTTCTATATACATTTGTAAATACACACGAAAATCAATGTAATCATAGAAAAATATATACATAAATATTGCATAATGAATTCTGTGTGCATTTACATAATCAATAGCTTTAATTTTTTTCTTAATGTTGATCACAACAGTGTATCCCTTACTTGGTTTGAATCTGATACAACAATATCGACAGTCATAACGAAATATCTGTTTACGTCTCTAAATATTGAATCATTGAAATATTTCAGAATATGTTTTAACACAATTGTGCGTTGATTCTGTTGACTCATGAACATAAATCTAAACATTGATTTTTGTACAAATATCTTACTGACATCTTACTGACATGCGGGCGTTTTAACTGTACAAAACAAATCTGTTCTTTAGCATCATTAAAAATATTGAAACATGTCACATGACACTTCACGTCTTCAACAACAATACGGTTTTATATAACGGTATGTTGATCTACTCTCTCTCAACTTATTATTTACTTTACAGATCATATTAAAAGTTTGAACACAATTGAACACACACGTAAAATTTACAAATAAAGTTATAGTAAAATCACACATCTAGTTCTATGTCCATCATAGTCAAACGTTAGTATCTGGAGCAGGATTATTATAAAAATACGTCAACTTTCATATACATACGTAATGTTCATCCAGACGATGCTAACAGGGCGACCTAGGATAAAGTAGCGTAACGTTCTATGGATGGTGTCCTCATACCTTGTCATACCAGAACAATAATTCTAGAATATAATCCATTGTCAATCTGATCATTAACTGTATCGATTAATACCACCATTAGATATCGTATTTATGCTAATACTTATGAATCATAATACAAAATATCTGTGCTGTTTATTTCAATGTCTCTGGATGTATTAACGAAATCATTTAAATAAGATTTACAGTACCTCTCGGAAGAAAAATGCAGATTAACTATCTCGCGAAAGAGATTTACAAACACTTCAATAGAAGAGACTAACAGTGTCTGTGAAATACATTTAGAGACTCTAATAAGAGAGATTTTAATCATTTCGTGGAGGATATGTATTGTCTCTCGTGGAGAAGATTTACAGTATCTGCTAAAACTATTTAGAGTCTCTAATGAGAAAGATTTACAGGATTTCGTGGAAGATAGTTATTGTCTCTTATGGAAGAGTTTCACGGTATTTTATGGAAGAGTTTCACGGTATTTTACGGAAGAGTTTCGCGGTATTTTATGGAGGAGAATCACAGTATCTCGTGCAAAGGATTTATAGTATTGTGTAGAAGAGATATTAATCATCTCGTGGAGGAGATTTACAGCATCTCTTGGAAGAAATTGTTATTTCCGTCTAAAGTCATGAAAAGTCTCTGATCGATTGTAAAAATATATCTAGTAATAAATTTCCCTACAGGTCCATTCTTAACCATTGCTTTTTCCTACACACATCCAGCTCTAAACATAAACCCCGTCAATCAGATCCATAGATACAGCGGCAGCGTTAGCATTGTAGGCAGTAGTATATCTAAAACTAATAACAACGGATATCAAATAGCGATAAACGAGGGGAAGGATGTGCTACTAAGGGCTGACAAAAGTCTGTGCCATTATGGAATCAGTAAAGTGAGGTAAAACGTAAACTACGATCACAAGATGCCGTTTTAAGAACAATGGATATATCTCATAATGAAATTGCCATTTAGCCGTGACTGGTTGCCAAGCCGTAAGTAGGAGCGTGCCTGACTACGGGTAAGGCCATCCGATCGATACGGCGGGAGGATTCCGGGTCAATATAACATCTGGTCCAGTTAGTGGAGACTGTACATATCTCTGTGTCGACATTACCCTTCACATACAATGTATGTCATCGGGAAATATTACATAAATACTGAACTGAAATATGGACTCATATTACCTGCCTGGAATTCATATTTACGGGGTCGATGTAACCGTCATACAACAACGACAATGAAGTTGTCATACTGGGAAACCTATTTTATTACCAGTTTCGAATCGATCGGATAAAAGGCGACCCGCCAATTAGTTATCGCCCTAAGCACGTTCATCTATATTCACGGCTCGTTCATTTATATTTACTGCGTGGGGTATTAACTTTAAAAATTCATACCCGAGTAATATTTAAATGGAATTCAATCGATCTTCTTTTCCAGTGTGATATTTTTATGCTTCACGGCAATAAAGATACCATATTGCATTACTAAACAAGTATCTGTGTTTTGTAGTAAAATTGGAATAAAAAACAGGTGCCTGATCAACCTCAACCATCAAGAATTAAGAATAACTGACAATGGTAGGCATGATGGAAATACAATGGGTTGGGGGGAGGTTGAGATAAAAACAGCATGCTAACCTAAACCTCAGTGTCACTGTAGTACTGTTCACATCGCATACATCGACACAACCTATGTATGTATCATTAACGGATAACAAAAAAAAAAAATTTGGCACATAATATGAGCGGTCAAATAAATAACAAGTATTTACATGTTTAACAATTACACACATGAGTACTGTATGTATCTCTGGAGCTACATACACGAGTAATGTACATCGCCTCAGAAACGTACACGAGTAATGTACATCGCCTCAGAAACGTACACGAGTAATGTACATCGCCTCAGAAACGTTCATGGCCAAACTGCTGGAGCTACATACACGAGTAATGTACATCGCCTCAGAAACATTCATGGCCAAACTGCCATCGAATGAGTCGTCCATCTCTCTCCTTGTTCCTACCTAACGGAATCACAGTTTCTGATTGAAAATTCACACAATTTTTAATATCTTGATTCCGAATCTATATGAAGACCCAGAAATTGATGTCATTAATATTTACTAGCATTCCCTTTACATTCTCCGTCAGTGACTTTCTGATTCCGGATGCGCATGATGCGCCGCCTGTTGAGATACACGGCTATCACTATGGGGATGGTGATCAATGGGAAAACCACGAGAATAATTCCCGCCGCCAGGACATCATACTGCTTGTTACTTGTAGCGTATATCGACAGCAAAATACCTGCAACAGACAAAATCAACATTAGCTTCAATAGATTTGTTTCCAACTTGTCATTTCGTTTTATTTACTCTTGTGCTGCAGTATGTTTACACATGTGAGATTCAGAATCTTAATCGGTCGTTCCACTCGCAATGAAAGTTTTGAAGTTCTAGGAAGTTAACAAGTTCGGTCCCCGTGTCTTTTGTAACGACTTTTCGGATACAGACTGCCGCTGTTCTGTTCCGTACTGAGACCAGGTTCAGTAAACAGCGAGATGGACAGTGATAAACAATATTGATTACACAAGGTAATGGAGTCGGTAGATAATCAGAGTACACTATAGGACCCCTGGTGTTTTACTTTGATTTGCTCATATTGCTTTGTAATTGGAAAGGCCAACCGACTGTATTGCAATCTATATATCGTCTGTGTTACTTTTTTCTACCTTCGATATTGAGCAATGGCGGGCGTATTTGTATAGGGAGTTAATCCTTACTGTTATATTTATGGTCCGAGAATTATGTACTCGTTCGTATTTTCATGACTTTCAGCGAATATATTTCCATTAACAAAAATCTACTCAAAATCTACATCTCATTGGAATATTTATAGAAAGATCGATACGCTGATAATAGAGCGTCCTCCCCAATGGCCCACTAAGCCTGACGTTATGGCTGAACTATCCACCCAACGTAATGTAAACACTCAACACTGTAGTCAGATCAGGTCTAACTACGCTCGATCAGGTGACACCTAAACAAATGAGAACTGTTTAAACCAGTAACCATTGGATTTGTAACAAGCAATACATTCATACTTGGGATACACGATATATAATCGCGAATGGCGACACCGCAGGTTGTTTTCTCTTCCGGTTTACTTTTTCTACGTACGACATGAAAAAGAATCTGGTTCTTACGACTTTTTATTTCAATAATTGATACGGAATTATGAAATTCATAGATCAATGGAGAACGGTATATGGATTGTGTGTTTCCCATTAACGATAATCCGATGGCAGTAGTCTAAAAAACAACTCCATTATCCAACTCTCAAATGTCGCCATGGTGACCGCGGTTGATAATCGTAGTGTTTTAGTCATAGTATGGAATCTATTTTTGTCAAATTTGCATACATGTACCCGAGTGTGACACGTACCGTTGATCCACCAAGTACATCGCCTACATATAAATAAATCAATTTTACCTACCGGTATTCTATTCCTCTAGCTGAATATATGGTGTGATGGCGTCGACACGTGCTGTAGCCATTGATGCGGCGCTAAGTTGTCAGATATGATCGTGTTAACGGGGCAAATCAATTCTAGGTTATAATACAGAAGTATAGTAAACGGTATACGTGGAGAAACTTGTCGGATTTCTTAGTCAAGTTAATATAATGACACTCCATAAAACATATAAAGTTATAGCCAATATATATGATGGCATCCTAAATGGATGCCATCATATATGTTGGCTATAACGAAAGGAAAATATGTCCCGGACTTCATATTGCTCACCATAACAAAATATTCATAAAATACGTCGCTTCTATACAAAATCCAAATGACATTGTAACCTTTTAAATAACAAAACCAATAGAGTTGTGGTTTGTCTGTTAAATGAAACTTTTACCTCCTGGCATTACACTTGAAGGGAAGAAGAATCTCAGATTGCAGATCGTTAAGGTCTCTTAGTTTTGGCATTCTCTTATACATAGTGTGAAACAAGACACAACTAAATAAAGTCTTTACTGTAGTGTAAAACATGAAAAACTTTAATGAAGTAATCGGGACAAACAGTCTGAAAATAGCATTCTTATTTTGAAAACTTATGTAATTACCTGGCTACAGGTGAATAAATAAACTGTACTTATTTTAGGTCATAAACCCAGCGTTACGCAGTGTACATACCACGGAGTATTATATATCATAACTATTTATATTTCTGTGTTAGACAGAGTACATAATTATTATTATAAAACCAGTATGCTGTAAAGAGTACATTTGTATATGCGCCAAAGTACTGAGTTAGAGTAAACTATACGTATGTTTAAATTACTCTATATAGAAGTCTATTACAGCTGTGACGTTATTATTAGCCAATCATCAAAGATATATTCAAACAGCTGTGAGCCTATTCATGAAAGCAAATACATTTTGTATACATATGACTGACGGGTTCAGCTTGTTAATTGTGTAGAAGGTCTGTGTTTCAGTGCAGGGGTATTATATAGGACATATCTTAGGACTTACGTTAAAGTCTGATATTTTTAAAATATCGAAGGGTAAACGTATTATTAACATATAATGATCGGTAATGTGTCCCTGTGGACTCAATATATATACCGTATTTGTACTGATGTATGTGTGGGCTCAACTACCATACCATATTTGTACTGATGTATGTGTGGGCTCAACTACCATACCATATTTGTACTGATGACTGTGCGGGCTCAACTATCATACCGTATTTGTACTGATGTATGTGTGGGTTCAACTACCATTCCATATTTGTACTGATGTATGTGTGGGCTCAACTACCATACCATATTTGTACCGATGTATGTGTGGGCTCAACTACCATACCATATTTGTACCGATGTATGTGTGGGCTCAACTACCATACCATATTTGTACTGATGACTCTGCGGGCTCAACTATCATACCGTATTTGTACTCATGTATGTGTGGGCTCAACTACCATACCGTATTTGTGCTGATGTATGTGTGGGCTCAACTACAATACCGTATTTGTACTGAAGACTGTGTGGGCTCAACTACCATACCGTAATTTTACTGATGTATGTGTACTGATGACTGTGCGGGCTCAACTACCATACCGTATTTGTACTGATGACTGTGTGGGCTCAACTTCCATACCGTAATTGTACTGATGTATGTGTACCGATGACTGTGCGGGCTCAACTACCATACCGTATTTGTACTCATGTCTGTGTGGGCTCAACTACCATACCGTAATTGTACTGATGTATGTGTACCGATGACTGTGCGGGCTCAACTACCATACCGTATTTGTACTGATGTATGGGTGGGGTCAACTACCATACCGTATTTGAACTGATGTATGTGTGGGCTCAACTACAATACCGTATTTGTACTGATGACTGTGCGGGCTCAACTACCATACCGTATTTGTACTGATGTATGTGTGGGCTCAACTACAATACCGTATTTGTACTGATGACTGTGTGGGCTCAACTACCATACCGTAATTGTACTGATGTATGTGTACTGATGACTGTGCGGGCTCAACTACCATACCGTATTTGTACTCATGTATGTGTGGGCTCAACTACCATACCGTATTTGTACTGATGACTGTGTGGGTTCAACTACCATACCGTAATTGTACTGATGTATGTGTACTGATGACTGTGCGGGCTCAACTACCATACCGTATTTGTACTGATATATGTGTGGGTTTAACTACCATACCGTATTTGTACTGATGTATGGGTGGGCTCAATATCCCTAACGTATGTGTACTGTAGTTTGTGGGCTGAACTACCATACCTTATTTTGTAAATATGTCTGTTTGGTTTCAATTTTTTTACCGGTTTTGTACTGCTGTCTATGTTGTTTCAATATATTCACCGTATTTGTACTGAAATTGATGTCTGTATGGGTTCATTACGTTTACCGTATTTATGTTGATGGAAGCAGTCAGTGTCCCACACATTATTTAGTGACTATTCACGTTATCAATAACAGGTTTCCGTGATACATGAAATTCGTAGATAATATCCCAAAAGGGCTGATACTCTCAGTCTGAGCTGATCACGTGATGACGACAAGTTGTGATACCAACTTTAACTACAAAATTATACAAAGGTCGTATTGATAATAGACGTATAAGGCTACTTCAGAGCGTTTCTCAACAGCTGTGCACAGCTATACATAATGGGAGCAAATGAGGGATAGAACGGATATGACGACAAACATTTGAAAAGATACCTACCGGCAGGAAAGATGATGACCAAGAGGAGACAAAGAGAACATCCGGTCAGACACCCTCCCAAACAGCACAATCTGGCCTCTGGCTCATCTAAAACATAACCAGACATATATGTACAGAAACAAATAAGGATTGAAGAGTTAAAAACAACTTTATAAAGTAGAAACTGAAAAAATACACAAATGAACGTCATCAACATGTATGCAAATAAATCGAGACAAACACCAATGGTCAGACTTGAACCTGACACGTGGACATTGAGTCCAGTGATAGGTTTAACCTGACACGTGGCCATTGAGTCCAGTGATGGGTTGAACCTGACACGTGGACATTGAGTCCAGTGATGGGTTGAATCTGTAACGTAGACATTGAGTCCAGTGATGGGTTGAACCTGACACGTGGACATTAAGTCCAGTGATGGGTTGAACCTGACACGTGGACATTGAGTCCAGTGATGGGTTGAACCTGACACGTGGTCATTGAGTCCAGTGATTGGTTGAACCGTCACGTGGACATTGAGTCGTGTGATGGGTTGAACCTGTCACGTGGACATTGAGTCCAGTGATGGGTTGAACCTGACACGTGGACATTGAGTCAAGTGATGGGTTGAACCTGACACGTGGACATGAGTCCAGTGATGGGCTGAACCTGACACGTGGACATTGAGTCCAGTGATGGGTTGAACCTGACACTTCGACATTGAGTCCAGTGATGGGCTTGCAATTGTCTGGTCCGAACTCTTACTCAAAAGATCAAGGTTTCGGTAATTTATTGAAAAGCAGCAATTTTCATCATTTATAGAAATGTTAGTGAGCGTATAACGATGATAGATTTAAGTCGCTAAGAGAAGAGATTATATATATCATAGAGGTAATTGATTTACGTCACAGCTTCTGCTTCAGAAGCGAAAATGGGCCGAAATGTATGCCGAACGCCATAATGTGAGTGAACCCCAAAATATTTATACTCACATTATCTCCTGTTTCATGAGTGACAAAATGCGCGCGTAAGATTTAATTGGGTGAAAACTAGCAGATAATAATCACATGAATTATTCCTAATAAACAACTATTGTGAAACATGTACATGTATATCACATACATTTATACCAACATGGCGTTCAACTTTGTGTTAACTTCACGTATAAGATATGATGAGCGAATTTTAAGGTGTTTTATGAAAGATCATGTACCAGAATTAAAACATCAAATACATCAAACAACAGATAATTTGTAAAGGAAAATAAAATAAATATTAAATTTAGAACAAGTTTGTCAATTGGAATGGTATTCAAATGTCTGTACAACGATGATACAATTAATGCATTAAGGAAACCAAAATCAATTTGTTTCTGCTGACTGTTTTGTTTTTTTTGTATATTTTGTATTTTTGTTTCGTGAATTTACTTTTACCTTTTTATTTACCATTTCGTTATCATTTCCACCATCATTCTACACCGGGAGAACATGTGATTGCTTGTTTAAGCTAACAGACCAGGTCGCCGAAGTCTGGTCGATACTTGTTTTTAAATATTAATGGTTTATTTCAAGTAACTTCTGCTGGCGTAATAGGTATACAGAGTCGTGATTGACTCAGAGGTATATACCTGCCCAATGAACACTATGATACTCCGAGGTATATACCTGCCCCATGAACACTCCGATACTCCGAGGTATATACCTGCCCCATGAACACTATGAGACTCAAGTGTGTCTACCTGCCCCATGAAAAATCCGAGACACATGTGGATCTATCTACCTGCCCCGGAACACTCCGAGACCCAAGTATATCTACCTGTTCCGGAACACTCCAAGACCCAAGTATATCTACCTGTTCCGGAACACTCCAAGACACAGATGTATTTACCTGCCCCATGAACACTATGAGACTCCGGTGAAACTACCTGCCCCATGAACACTCCGAGACACATGTGTATCTATCTGACTGCCCCGGAACACTCCGATATCCAGGTGTATCTAACTGTTCCGGAACACTCCAAGACACAGATGTATTTACCTGCCCCATGAACACTATGAGACTCCGGTGAATCTACCTGCCTCATGAACACTCCTAGACGCATGTGTATCTATCTGACTGCCCCGGAACACTCCGAGACCCATGTGTATCTACCTGTTCCGGAACACTCCGAGACCCAAGTATATCTACCTGTTCCGGAACCCTCCGAGACCTATGTGTATCTACCTGCCCCATAAAAAATACGAGACACATGTGTATCTATCTGACTGCCCCGGAACTCTCCGAGACCCATGTGTATCTACCTGTTCCGGAACACTCCGAGACCCAGGTGTATCTACCTGTTCCGAAACACTCCGAGACCCAGGTGTATCTACCTGTTCCGGAACACTCCGAGACCCAGGTGTATCTACCTGCCCCATAAAAAATCCGAGACACATGTGTATCTATCTGACTGCCCCGGAACACTCCGAGACCCAAGTATATCTACCTGTTCCGGAACACTCCGAGACCCAAGTATATCTACCTGTTCCGGAACACTCCGAGACCCATGTGTATCTACCTGCCCCATAAAAAATCCGAGACACATGTGTATCTATCTACCTGCCCCGGAACACTCCGAGACCCAAGTATATCTACCTGTTCCGGAACACTCCGAGACCCAGGTGTATCTACCTGTTCCGGAACACTCCGGGACACACATTTATCTACCTGCCCCATGAACACTCCGAGACACAGATGTATCAACCTACCCCATCAAAACTCTGAGATACAGGCGTGTCTACCTGTAACGGAACACTCTGAGACACAGGTGTATCTACCTGTAACGGAACACTCCGAGACACAGGTGTATCTACCTGTAACGGAACACTCCGAGACACAGGTGTATCTACCTCTAACGGAACACTCCGAGACACAGATGTATCTACCTGTAACGGAACACTCCGAGACACAGGTGTATATAATATATACCTGCCCCGGAACACTCCGGGACACACATTCATTTACCTGCTCCATGATCATGAACACTATGAGACTCCGGTGTATCTACCTGTTCCGGAACACTCCGAGACACAGGTGTATTTATACCTGCCCCGAAACACGGCGAGTGTTCGACGATAACTAGAATTTATGATGAGGAGTAATCTTCAATTCTGGCTGAAAATTCGTAAAATTTATGGCTCCTGGGTCTTTATATTGAAGAATGACGCTTTGTTTACTTCTAGTCTATTGCTACAGTAAATCTGATAAAGTCCAGCCGGACACGGTCTCCAAGTGGCGTCGACCTCTAACGTTAGTCATCAACTGACCATAGGTCAGTATCAATTCAAATGACTCCAACCTACAATGCCGTGGGCGCTTAATCTATGAACTTAAATAGATATCACTTTCCTCATTTAGAAGTCTACTACAAGGGAAATCGTGATACAAAGTCCGCGAAAAATAGCTGGGAGGACATGGGGAGATGGGAGGACATGAGAAGGAGTCAAGAGGACAGTAGACGGGATCGGAAGGACATTCAACAGGACGGACGTTGAGAGGACATTGGAAGGAGCCACGAAGAAGGCGGGACAAAGTCGTGAAGTTTGAGGAAACCGCAATCATAGGGAGGGAGTTGGCTGGAGCTGTCAAGTCTTCAGAGGAAGTCATAAGCATAGGGCTGGTAGCCGAGAACAAAGGAGATCTGCGAGTCGTGAAGATTTGAATGGAGTCATGAGCAAAGGGTAGGAATCGGGATACTTTAGAGACAGTCGCAAGTCAAGGGATTGGCGGTCAGAAGGACGTTGGAGTAATAAGCAAGCAATCCAATAGCAGCTGGGAGGGCTTGAGGAATCCGAGAAGGAATGGGGTGGGAGTCGGAAAACGTCGGAGGAATAGGTGGGGATAAGAGACTGAATAGAACGAATGGAAGTCGGGAGGTTACGGGGAAAGTATTGGCTAGTCGAAAGTATTTCAAAGGAAAGTTGAGGAAGGTATGGCGACTCAAGCTGGAGCCGGTAGAAAAGAGTCCGGGAAAGGAGGCGTGCCATACTGTCCTCTCTGCACCGTCTTTCTATACATCCTGTCTGCCATGTGGCACCTCCTCTACTGTATGTAAACATACAGCCCTCCATACCGTCCGTCTTATTTCATTAATACATATTACCGTCCATGTCGCCACTCATATATATAACTATTTCCCTCCATACCTCCAGTTTAAATGACTTTTTTTGCTATTTATGTATTTTCTATAACGACCGTTTTATTATATTTGCCTTATCCATCACGGAAGAGGTCCAAACAATGGCTCATTTGCTTGTCAAGTTGTTTTTAACGACACACAATAAAACGCTAATGGTTTTGTTCGCAGGATTTCATTTGTAATACCTAGTAACACAGTCCTTAGCTGACATTTTTATTCTGACTAAGTAGACTGACTGACAAGCCATGACCACAGAGAAGTGTTGATTACAAGGAAGTTGATATAATAGTATATGTAAACCAACAACAAAAAGATATCTATAAAACACCATTAACATCAATCTCACGATGATGATATCGCCTTACCCTCTTCGTCCTCCTCATCAACACAGTGATGTCGTGTCGTCTCTCGTCGTCCCTCGTTGTGTCCGTCCTTAGATTCATTGTAAATAGAAGTGTTGTAACCGGCGTGTACCATTTCAAGCAGGTCCCGTCCCAAGTGCCCCTCCTCATTAGGGGGGTTGGTACGACTGGGCTCTTTATAGTCACACTAACACAATGAGTATTTCCCAAATTTAACAGATTCTGTTGAACGAATGACCCCTTTATTCAACTTCACAGAAATCTCCTATCCCGTGAAGTGAAACCGACATCGTGACAGACCTTTCTCTATTGATCTATTTCTACAGCACAGTACAATGTATACCTGTGTGTGGGTACAGGTGGAAGGAACTCGAGAGTTGTTCTCGGGTTCCTTCCACCTGTACCCACACACAGGTAAAATCCATTATAGTGTCCCGGAACTCCTCGGCTTTGTACATAGCTCTGCACCTTGACAACGCCCAAACAAGCTAGGGCTGTATCGTACTGTTGATTTGCCACGTGTATAATAATACTCTATTTAAATCCACTTCACAAGAAAGTTGCCCGGGGCCTGAACTGTATAAGTGTAATAAGCACCGAGTACCGAGCGCTTTGTTTTGATTGTTTGATATGACGATCGATACACTCCGTTTAACCTGCTGATGACGTCATTAAATTATATCGATCAGTATGTGTATAAATTTAAATATCAAAACAAATATAGCGTGTTCAGGAACTGAGTTCTAATTGCAGCCATTGTGTAAATTTCTGTTGTACGTTAGGTTTCTCAATAGAAATGAAGTCAGTCTGTGAGTGTGTGTCTGTAATTGATGACAACTAGTGATGCTTCTTCAGAATAAGATTCATTACTTTGGTATGAATACTAAAGGCTAAGTTTGTTAAGTTTGTTTTGAACAGAAACACAATTTTCATTATCTTTTTGTGGTCAACACAAACTTAGCCTCCATCATTAAGCCTATTTTTTGTGAAAACAATCTGGCTTGTTTTGATATACAATTTGATGCTGACAAACATGTGCTAATTCGATATGCAACTTGCCGAAGTATCAAAATTATGCTTATGCTGTATAAAGTAATATACAGGGTTTTCTAAGTGAAGAAATTGAATCTACACTAAATACATTTATGGTCATATACTGACCTGACTAAAGACAGGATTATAGACATTAGTTGGTAACATAAATAGGATCACCATGAAGGGGGGCCACCGCAAGGATCTGATACTTTGTTACAGCAATATTATTTCGACCTAAAATAAGGTGTTCAGCGTAATTTAACATGTTTTAGGGGTTTAGGTCGACTTTCGGTAAAATAGACATCCCAAAATGTCGGCCCCACATGTGGTACCGGATACTCGTATCCACCTCTAACTCCTACTTTGTCCCGTTATGTGTTGACGCTGTGGTTGACATCATTCCCTTATAGAGAAAAGTATCCTGACCGAAACCGCCGCAGTGATATATTTGTTTTAGTGTTATTTTCTCTACAGCTACACCGCCGCAGTGATATATTTGTTTCTTAGTTATTTTCTCTACAGCTACACCGCCACAGTGATATGTTATTTTCTCCACAGCTACACCGCCGCAGCGATATATTTGTTTCTGTGTTATTTTCTCTACAGCTCCACCGCCGCAGTGATATATTTGTTTCTTAGTTATTTTCTCTACAGCTACACCGCCGCATTGATATATTTGTTTCTGTGTTATTTTATCTACAGCTACACCGCCGCAGTGCTATATTTGTTTCTGTGTTATTTTCCCTACAGCTACACCGCCGCAGTGACATATTTGTTTCTGTGTTATTTTCCCTACAGCTACACCGCCGCAGTGATATATTTGTTTCTGTGTTATTTTCTCTACAGCTACACCGCCGCAGTGATATGTTATTTTCTCCACAGCTACACCGCCGCAGTGATATATTTGTTTCTGTGTTATTTTCTCTACAGCTTCACAAACTGATAGCTATCGCCAGTGTGACTATCAATCTGCATCACAAACTGATAGATATCCTCAGTGTGACTATCAATCTGCATCACAAACGGATAGATATCGTCAGTGTGACTATCAATCTGCATCACAAACTGATAAATATCATCAGTGTGACTATCAATCTGAATCACAAACTGATAGCTATCGTCAGTGTGACTATCAATCTGCTTCACAAACTGATAGATATCCTCAGTGTGACTATCAATCTGTATCACAAACTGATAGCTATCGTCAGTGTGACTATCAATCTGCATAACAAACTGATAGATATCGTCAGTGTGGCTATCAATCTGAATCACAAACTGAGAGCTATCGTCAGTGTGGCTATCAATCTGAATCACAAACTGAGAGCTATCGTCAGTGTGGCTATCAATCTGCATCACACCGCATTGATATATTTGTTTCTGTGTTATTTTCTCTACAGCTACACCGCCGCATTGATATATTTGTTTCTGTGTTATTTTCTCTACAGCTACACCGCCGCATTGATATATTTGTTTCTGTGTTATTTTCTCTACAGCTTCACAAACTGATAGCTATCGCCAGTGTGACTATCAATCTGCATCACAAACGGATAGATATCGTCAGTGTGACTATCTATCAATCTGCATCACAACCTGATAGATATCGTCAGTGTGACTAACAATCTGCTTCACAAACTGATAAATATCGTCAGTTTGACTATCAATCTGCTTCACAAACTGATAGATATCCTCCGTGTGACTATCAATCTGTATCACAAACTTATAGCTATCGTCAGTGTGACTATCAATCTGAATCACCAACTGATAGATATCATCAGTGTGACTATCAATCTGTATCACAAACTTATAGCTATCGTCAGTGTGACTATCAATCTGCTTCACAAACTTATAGATATCGTCAGTGTGGCTATCAATCTGAATCACAAACTGATAACTATCGTTAGTGTGGCTATCAATCTGCATCACACCGCATTGATATATTTGTTTCTGTGTTATTTTCTCTACAGCTACACCGCCGCATTGATATATTTGTTTCTGTGTTATTTTCTCTACAGCTTCACAAACTGATAGCTATCGCCAGTGTGACTATCAATCTGCATCACTAAATGATAGATATCGTCAGTGTGACTATGAATCTGCATCACAAACTGATAGATATATCACAAACTGATAGATATCGTCAGTGTGGCTATCAATCTGAATCACAAACTGAGAGCTATCGTCAGTGTGGCTATCAATCTGCATTGTGACTATCAATCTGAATCACAAACTGCTAGATATCGTCAGTGTGACTATCAATCCGCATCACAAACTGATAGCTATCGTCAGCTGTGTTATTTTCTCTACAGCTACACCGCCGCAGTGATATATTTGTTTCTGTGTTATTTTCTCTACAGCTACACCGCCGCAGTGATATATTTGTTTCTGTGTTATTTTCTCTACAGCTACACCGCCGCAGTGATATATTTGTTTCTGTGTTATTTTCTCTACAGCTACACCGCCGCATTGATATATTTGTTTCTGTGTTATTTTCTCTACAGCTTCACAAACTGATAGCTATCGCCAGTGTGACTATCAATCTGCATCACAAACAGATAGATATCGTCAGTGTGACTATCTATCAATCTGCATCACAAACTGATAGAAATCGTCAGTGTGACTATCAATCTGCATAACAAACTGATAGATATCGTCAGTGTGACTATGAATCTGCATCACAAACTGATAGATATCTTCAGTGTGACTATCAATCTGCATCACAACCTGATAGATATCGTCAGTGTGACTAACAATCTGAATCACAAACTGATAGATATGTGACTATCAATCTGCATCACAAACAGATAGATATCGTCAGTGTGACTATCAAATATCCTCAGTGTGACTATCAATCTGAATCACATACTGATAGATATCGTCAGTGTGACTATGAATCTGCATCACAAACTGATAGATATCCTCAGTGTGACCATCAATCTGTATCACAAACTGATAGCTAGCGTCAGTGTGACTATCAATCTGCATCACAACCTGATAGATATCGTCAGTGTGACTATCCATCTGCATCACAAACTGATAGATATATCACAAACTGATAGATATCGTCAGTGTGCCTATCAATCTGAATCACAAACTGATAACTATCGTTAGTGTGGCTATCAATCTGCATCACAACCTGATAGATATCGTCAGTGTGACTATCTATCAATCTGCATCACAACCTGATAGATATCGTCAGTGTGACTAACAATCTGAATCACAAACTGATAGATATCGTCAGTGTGGCTATCAATCTGAATCACAAACTGATAGATATCGCCAGTGTGCATATCAATCTGCTTCACAAACTGATAGATATCGTCAGTGTGGCTATCAATCTGAATCACAAACTGATAGCTATCGTCAGTGTGACTATCAATCTGAATCACAAACTGATTGATAGCTATCGTCAGTGTGATTATCAATCTGCATCACAAACTGATAGATATCGTCAAGTGTGACTATCAATCTGCATCACAAACTGATAGATATCGTCAAGTGTGACTATCAATCTGCATCACAAACTGATAAATATCATCAGTGTGACTATCAATCTGAATCACAAAATGATAGATATCGTCAGTGTGACTATCAATTTGCATCACAAACTGATAACTATCGTCAGTGTGACTATCAATCTGCATCACAAACTGATAGATATCGTTAGTATGACTATCAATCTGCATCACAAACTGATAAATATCATCAGTGTGACTATCAATCTGAATCACAAACTGATAGCTATCGTCAGTGTGACTATCAATCTGAATCACAACCTGATAGATATCGTCAGTGTGACTATCAATCCGCATCACAAACTGATAGATATCGTCAGTGTGCATATCAATCTGCTTCACAAACTGATAGATTTCGTCAGTGTGACTATCAATCTGCATCACAACCTGATAGATATCGTCAGTGTGACTATCAATTTGCATCACAAACTGATAACTATCGTCAGTGTGACTATCAATCTGAATCACAAACTGATTGATAGCTATCGTCAGTGTGATTATCAATCTGCATCACAAACTGATAGATATCGTTAGTATGACTATCAATCTGCATCACAAACTGATAAATATCATCAGTGTGACTATCAATCTGAATCACAAAATGATAGATATCGTCAGTGTGACTATCAATCTGAATCACAAACTGATTGATAGCTATCGTCAGTGTGGCTATCAATCTGCATCACAAACTGATAACTATCGTCAGTGTGGCTATCAATCTGCATCACAAATTGATAGCTATCGTCAGTGTGACTATCAATCTGCTTCACAAACTGATAAATATCGTCAGTGTGACTATCAATCTGCATAACAAACTGATAGATATCGTCAGTGTGACTATCCATCTGCATCACAAACTGATAGATATCGTCAGGGTGACTATCAATCTGCATCACAAACTGATAGCTATCGTCAGTGTGACTATCAATCTGCATCACAAACATACCATAGGGACCTACTCCAACCTTACTAAATACACTGTTGGTGACTCTTATTATGTTATTTAGATTATTTAGTGAATAATTAACCGTTTTCAATTGATACACATAGTGTAATTTGACTTGCTTAGTAAAATATATATTGATATACATTTTGATTATATAATTGAATCATTCAAACAGATATCCACTAACTTGATGTATTTACCAATTTACTGTAAGATTTTGTTAATGTCAATGTTTATAAAGCGGTATGGCGTGCCACAGCTTGCTGAACGAAAATCCATATTACTTATTTCAAATTCACCTACATGTACGTTGCTATGATACGTCATACTCTGTCTATCCGCGTATGCTTACTGTCGTCGATATAAAACCTTTGTATAGGTTGAAGTCGCCACTTTAAGTAGTCTTTACCGATAACACTCTCGGAATCACGTCTCTAAACTAGATTGCCTAACTCAGATTGAACTATTCATTTTCTCCGAGAACACAAGCCCTGTAAATCCTATTTATACATTCCCTGTTTGTATTGTGCGTACAACATATACATTTATATGTCATATTGATGCAAAGTAAATATAAATCTAAGTTATTACACACCTATATGATTGAAAATTCCGTTTATGGGGGCTTGTTTACACCAAACCCCCTGTCTACAAACTATAATAATCATTTTGTCTAAATCTATGAGAAATACTTCTTATTAAGCTATATTCAACTTTTTACAATATTTGATAACAAGATTCGGCAAGATTAATTAAACTATATACATTTATACGTCTTGGATAAAGAGCAGTGCACGAACGCAAACGAATACTACACCTGCACTGTTATCAAACGAATACTACACCTGCACTGTTATCAAACGAATACTACACCTGCACTGTTATCCGGTCCCTTTATCTGTAACATATAGAGTACGGAGCACAGAACACTTTATTCTAAGACATGCTTGTTCACTTACAATTAGTCGCGATCACTTGTCATTTTAGACACTTTCCACCAGAAAACTACTGCAAGAAAGAACAATTTACATACAACGAAATAAAAACGATTCTCGAAAATGTTTCTTTTTAAGTCAGGAAATAGTTTTGTTTTCACAAATATAGCAAATCTAGTCTTAACTGTAGTGTTACGGTTGATATGTAATGTATTTATCATCTCCATTAAGGTTTCTCTGATTAGTTTACTGTTCAACATCTTCCTCGTCTTCTTAACTGTAGTAACGAAAACTCCATACATCTTTACTGTTGCAATAGCTGTTCTTATATACACGTAGGCTTATATATACCACACACAAGAAAAGTTAAACATATAGAATCAATAACTGTAACTAATCTTGTCATCCCTAATTGTAGGAACACCGCTGACATGACCCTCCTCTGATTCGGCGTAAGGTATGGAGAATGATGCCGCGAGAAACGTCGTGTCGCCAAAGGACGATGTTTCTTACGAAAACGAGGCGATTAATAAACCGAAAAAGCGGGAGGCAACAAACAATCAAGGAGGAGACGGCAATGGCCTTCCAGGTCCGAGGATCCAACGAAGAATTTCCCAACCAGAACGCAAAGTCAGTTTCCAGCTAAATATTGACAACATTCCTTCCCATGCCGACCTGTACGATAATACTTCTCCGACCCGTAGGCCCAGTGTTAGTTTCGTTCGGAGAGATGGCGACGAGAATCTCGTTCCCAACGAGAGAAGGGCTAAGGCGAGTCGATCGCCTCAGAGAAGCCCAAGGGTAAGCTTTTCACTGGCTCCCGGTGAAGGAAACCCGATGTATAACCGCTCCGGGAAGAAGCCGAACGAGACTAAATCTCCGAGAGTAAGTTTTTCTCTTGGCCCGGGCGAGGAAAACCCTATTCCAAATGACCGCACAACTAAACGCATAACGAAGGAAAACAAATCGCCACAAAGAAGTCCGAAAGTCAGCGTTTCTCATGAAAATATCGAAACTAACCCAGTTCAAGTAGAACAACAGACTGTATCCCCATCTTCTTCTACTTCTTCTTCCTGTCCTGATGGTGCAGACCGACCCCGTCGCCCCAGTAGACAAAGACGCTCTGGGGTAGTCAATAGTTTTGAGAGTGGGCGGGTGACGTCAGACATATTCTTAGATAATCTTCCCTCCGACAAACCTACAGAAGAAGACGACCAGTCAATATCAACAATATCAGGCAGTGTTGATATCGAATATACTTCAGCGAGAACGGCCAGCTACAACTCGGAGGAAGATCTCGGTCAGGTAAACAGCGGGTATGAAAGCGATGACGTCATAGAAAACATTGCACTAAAAGTGAACAGCATCATACAGGATGCACAGGCAAGTGAAATGAGTAATGGTTACTATAGTAACAGCATTGATAGCAAGGACGAGGGACAAGAGGGACAAGAAGAAGAAGACTACGTCGGCGAAGATGAAGAAGTAGAGGAGGAGGAGGAGGAGGAGGAGGAGGAGGAGGAGGAGGAGCAAGAGGAGGAAGAGGAAGATCAGGGCTTGACATTTAACCTCCCATCACAGGACAACCAGGACAAACAAACATTTGATGTTCCAATGAAGAAGGAAAGAAAGATAAATGAGTTTGGTTTACCACTGTCGATAATGAAACATAAGAAATCGTCCTTTGCCGAGAGTAACTATTCTGATGATTCCACGTCCCCCAATAAGAGTTCTCTTGCTCGTCACTTACGGAAGGACTCTATAGCACTGACCAGTGAGAAGATGGGTCAGATAAGGGATCTGCAGAGACACTACAAGCTGATGAAGAAGGAAAACATGCCAAGTGTAAGTGTGACGCTAGTTTGTCGAGTCCACCATTACCTCCTGTTAGAATTAGTAAATATACTCACACGAGGATCCACTAGATTGAGCGCATGTATAGAAGATATTCTTAATGTTTATATGAATAAAAGATTATTTCACGAGTGGATTGAATATTTTCATAGTTTTCACGAGTGCGTAACAGAGATGAAATATGGAAAATAGTCAACCCAAAAATCTGATTTATTGGTTTTATGTAAATATAACAGAATACTTACCGATCACAGTAAAAATATATTTACTTCACCTTCCTTGTAAAACCCAATACGTAGCTGGTAAATTTGTAGTCAACAACCTTATTCCATCTTTGTCGATATTTTAATGTATACCTCCTCAGTACATTTGTTAGGTAGTATAAAATGCATGTAAACAAGAGAAGTGTGATATACGTATTAGAGGATGTCCGTTATTAAAAATGTCAAAATCTCAAGGTCGTTCGATAGATCATAGTCGAGTTTTACCAATTACACATTAGGAGTTATCAAATTGTCCTCAAATAAGCTCTGAATAGAACGGTTAATTAATAAAATTCGTATTTATTCAAAAAATTATCTATTGCAGTTCTGGAAGAGGAAGACACTGACTATTAAGAAGTACCAGCTACACATGGCCGTGGCTGCCATGTTTGTCGTCGCCGTGATAACCGTTGCTGTAGGCTGGCATTTCCACGACCAGTTTCATGAGATAAGGAATGCTAACCAGCGTGTCTTCTTCGAGCCCTCAAGTCGAATCCTCACGCTGAGAGACCACCAAGATAATAAGATAATTGCGAATCTCGGGGTCAGCATCCCCATTTGGCTTCTGCCTTCACACTGCGCAAATGAAAAAGAAACAGGGTCGTTTACGTGTCTAAAATGGAAAAATAATGCAGTTTTAAGAATCCGACACTTTGGATCAAAAGCCGTAAATTGTTATAACATAACATGGGAGGTCACCCGTGAGGACCTTTTCCCAGAAGATTGCTTCATAATAGGTTCTCACGTCTGGTTTGGTCCGTCCAACACATCGAGTGCTATGTGGCCCCTGGATAAAACTAACTTTACATTTACAGCCGCAGAGACGGATTTCTATCCTGCCGGAACATTTAGTTCGGCCATGGAACGGTACTGGATATCCTCGGGAGGAGGGTCGATCTTTGTCCATAACGAAGACCCAGTATCTGTCAAATGGAATATAAAAAATAACAATAAAATCTGCATCGTTGGGAACAACAGGGGAAGTTTTTATGGTCAAAAGAGAACTAGGGGAACAGATTTAAATTACACAGTTTGCCACGGCACAAATGCTGTGGTCACTCACAAGTATGTCCGAAAGTTGTTACCTGACGGTCCGAACAACCTTCCATCTAGGCTTAGCTTAAAGTATCCGGTCTGGTCCACATTTGGCGTTGCACAATCTCATGATATCACAGAGAACGACATATCCGGTTTAGCAAAGGGAATACACGACAGACAATTAAATTGCAGTTTCATTGAAATTGATGGTAAATGGGAAAAACATTTTGGGGATTTAGAATTTGACAAAGAAAGATTTCCTAACATAACAGGTATTGCGAAATACGTCAAAACGTTAGGTTATTCTCTCTCTGTTGAGGTCAGTCCGTATTTTGGTTATAAATCTTTCAATTTTGATGAAGGTGTAAAAGACGGCAATTTTATGCTTGATGCCGGAAGAAAAGTTCCAGCGTTTCTTCCGATGGAGCAAAGTATCTATGCCATGTTGGACATCACTAACCCGTCAGCAGAATCGTGGATGAAAGGCAAGATGATCCGACTTTCTTCCACATACAAAATTACAGCCTTCCACATATTTTACCGTAATCGATCATGGATGCCGTTTAGTCCAGCATTCCATGCGGCGGAAGTAACACCAAGTATGATTAGAAATCTCTTTGCAGAATTTGTAACATCATTTAATGAAGTTGATGCTGATATTGTTGAAGGAACATCCGGGTCACAAAACCAAGTTTCGTTCGTTAACATACCGACAAAGGTCACTATGCATTCGGATGGTGAGTGTATAACTGGTATCATAGAAACAGCATTGACTCTGGGAATTATGGGTTACCCCTTTGTTATCGTTGACGGTATGTTTGTACAGGAACCCGCTGCTGGGCTCGAAGAGTTTGACTTGCCTAATCGACAGCTCTACATTCGATGGATACAAATGGCTTCCTTCTTCCCCGCCATGAAGTACGCTGTTCCGCCGTGGGCTTTTGATGATGAATGTGTGGAAATGGCGCGGAACGCTTCTTTAATGCACCAACAATACACTGTGAAAATTATAAATGAAATACAAAAAGAAATAAAAAATGGCGATCCAATTATTCGACCAATATGGTGGACTGCTCCGTCCGATCAAGAAGCACATACCGCCAAGAATGAGTTCATGGTCGGCGACTCCCTCTTGGTCGCGCCTGTCGTTTGTGATGACGTCATAGAGCGGGATATCTACCTTCCGGAAGGCTTCTGGACGGATAAGCTAACAGGAGATTTTATTTACGGAAAGAGGTGGTTATATAACTATGAAGTAAAAATAAACCAGATACCACACTTTAAACGGAAAGAGGTCATAGGGCACTAGTGTCTAGTCAGTCACTGTTAGTTACTTTTTTAATTTGAAGATAGTGTCTGACCATGATTCTGCATGCAATCTTTAATACGAGTATTACTGAGTGACCTCCCTTTACTCGAAGATCGATTAACGTGTGTTTTATGTGACTATGAGAGACACTTCTTTTTCTATAAGTGGTTTGCTGTTACCGAGAGCTATACTTCTGTTGTTTTAAGTGATACCCATTTTGCTATGAGTGAAAAGCCTGTTACTATGAGTAAATGTTTTCATTCGATATCATAAGATGATGTAGAACATAGAAGTGGTCCTGTTATCCATCATCGTGTAACTGTGGTAAAAAATGGGTCATTCGTGGAAGTCAGTTCTAAACGAACAGTTCCTCATATTTTGTTCTGAAATATATTTCTTCCAACAGAACCAAAACTTCCTAGGTTCGAGTCTTGATCTGTCACAGTTAACAGTGATTGATTTGTGTTCAATTTTGAGGTAATTGTATGTGCTGTATATATAATTTATAGGTTTGTTTGTAGTCTGCTGCGTTTACGAAAAGGAAATTGGTAATGGAATATGCAAACATAACATGAAATGTAACACATCGTCAGAGTCCGCCATGTTTGTTCTAGATCGGGTGACAGGTGGCAACAGTTATAAGTGCTATCAATTTAAACGATCTTCAGTATGTTTTCACATTTACACACGATGTTCAGTATGTTTTCACATTTACACACGATGTTCAGCATGTTTTCACATTTACACTCGATGTTCAGTATGTTTTCACATTTACACACGATGTTCAGTATGTTTTCACATTTACATACTAGTTAGTATGCGCTGGTGTGCTATCATTTATTTTTGTACAAATATGTGTTCTTTGTAGTAATAATTTTGTCCTTAATTATGACAGATCTGTTTTAAGATTTATATATTTTTTAAACATTTTATTAATCATCCCTTTACAAAACGAAACAAATTGCTGTGCAGAATGTAGAAATGCATTTGTGTATTTGTACATTTCTTTTAAAACGCCAAGATCAAATAGGTGGTCTCCCTTTGATTTATATTCGCCTTCGAGCGAAGGTTTTATTTTGTCTGTTTTAGAATGAACGGAATGCTTTATAATTCCATGTTACCGTGTTAATAGGGAAGTTATTTCTATAAACACTTGTATTACTACATCATGTTATTTCCTAAGGCTGTGCTGTTCGTATTTATAAATAATGGTGTTCCATTCACCGAAGGATACTTTTTATGTAATTTGCAGTAACGGAGTCAATTGTTCTATAACTGGTTCAACATGAAGTCCGTTTAGGAATATCATGTAATACCTTGTACCTAAAAGAACATTGCGTTTTTCAAAATTTTCCATGGAGGTCAAGTGAATTGATCCAATAAAATTAAATGAAGGAAGAAATAGCTTTTTTTTCGTTATGTTTGAGAGAAAGACGTCAGTACATTTACATGAGTTTTTACGTACGTGTTCCCAAATAAGTGGAGATTTGTTATCATGTCTATCTGACTTGAGTTAGTGAACTTTCAAATTCAACACTAGTAGCCACGATGTTAACCAAGAGCGTTTTAGATAAAAATGCTACCAACAATCTTGATAAGGGAATATTACAAGGTTTCTGGATGAAAATAATTCTGAAGGACGTATGCAAGATGTTCTTATTGATATGTACCAAAGGTTCTTAAATATGCAGTTGTTCCTAAAGATATAGCAGTTATTCATAGATCAGCGGACACGATGGTCCTGGAGGTGTTTAAAGATTTTCAAATATGCGTATTAGTTGCTCCTAAATGTTGAACAAGTTGGTTTCGAATGTGTAGACCTGTGCGTACAAGCGTTCCTAAAGTAGAAAATCTTCCTAAAGGTGTGTGATATAAGGATTGTATAAAACGGTCTTATAGGGGTGTAAAAGTTGAACCTAAAGGTGTGTGATATAATGATTGTATAAAACGGTCTTATAGGTGCGTATAAGTTGTACCTAACGTTTTGTGATATAAGGATTGTACAAAACGGTCTTATAGGGGTGTAAAAGTTGAACCCAACGTTGTGTGATATAAGGATTGTATAAAACGGTCTTATAGGTGTGTAAAAGTTGTACCTAAAGGTGTGTGATAGAAGGATTGTATAAAACGGTCTTATAGGTGTGTAAAAGTTGAACCTAAAGGTGTGTGATATAAGGATTGTATAAAGCGGTATTATAGGTGTGTAAAAGTTGTACCTAAAGGTGTGTGATATAAGGGTCTTAAAGGTGTGTAGAAATTGTACCTAAAGGTGTGTGATATAAGGATTGTATAAAACGGTCTTATAGGTGTGTAAAAGTTGAACCTAAAGGTGTGTGATATAAGGATTGTATAAAGCGGTCTTATAGGTGTGTATAAGTTGTACTTAAAGGTGTGTGATATAAGGATTGTATAAAACGGTCTTATAGGAGTGTAAAAGTTGAACCTAAAGGTGTGTGATATAAGGATTGTATAAAACGGTCTTATAGGTGTGTATAAGTTGTACCTAAAGGTGTGTGATATAAGGATTGTATAAAGCGGTCTTATAGGTGTGTATAAGTTCTACTTAAAGGTGTGTGATATAAGGATTGTATAAAACGGTCTTATAGGAGTGTAAAAGTTGAACCTAAAGGTGTGTGATATAAGGATTGTATAAAGCGGTCTTATAGGTGTGTATAAGTTCTACTTAAAGGTGTGTGATATAAGGATTGTATAAAACGGTCTTATAGGGGTGTAAAAGTTGTACCTAGAAGTGTTTGATATAAGGATTGTATAAAACGGGCTTATAGGTGTGTAAAAGTTGTACCTAGAGGTGTGTGATATAAGGGTTGTATAAAACGGTCTTATAGGTGTGTAAAAGTTGTACCTAGAAGAGGTTGATATCAGGATAGTATAAAACGGGCTTATAGGTGTGTAAAAGTTGTCCCTAGAAGTGTTTGATATAAGGATTGTATAAAACGGTCTTATAGGTGTGTAAAATTTGTACCTAGAGGTGTGTGATATAAGGATTGTATAAAACTTTCCTAAAAATAAAGTTGTGTAAAAGATGTTCCTAAATGTATAGTAGTATTTTGTTTTGTTTCCATATGTGTATGAACATTTGTGGTATACTATGTCTCTATATGCAAAATTTAAAGATGCGTTCAAAATGACACTGTCACACTTTTGTACCATGACACTGTGATTACGAACCAACACAGGTACCGGTCTGACTTCAGTAAACAAAGTGTAGTATGTATACAGTGTACTTAATGTACAGTTATATAATGGATATGAGGGAAATAGCAAATGTTTTATCCCCCGGGGTGAAAAACTATTTCCAGAGGCCAAAGGAAATAGTTTTTACCAAGGGTGACCATACATTTGCTATTACACGAATTACCTATTCTTTAACTGTTTTATTATAACGAAACACATTAAGGCAGTTAATTAAACGAATTTATAAATTCATTTCTTTAAACAATTTCAAAGAGAAAATACATATCACAATTTTGTGCTGTATGCATCGTCGTTGGTGATATCTTCATTTCTAGCATTCAAGAAGTGTTTTGTAGACCTATCTAATAGTCACCATTGATTTTCTGTCCTAATCGTCGACGCCTCCGGCATTCCGTTCAGTTAAATAAGTTTGAAGTACTGCCTTAACAACAGCTTTTGTATTGAAGCCATACTTTTATAAGCTGTAATTCCTGATCAGTAAGATTACATGTATCAAAACGACCTACATCGATTGTCATTTTCGCTGTTGTCGTTTGGTTCTGAATTGTGACGTCACCTGGGTCACGGAGAAAACCCCGCCTACCAAATGTTTTCATTGGTTTAAATTTGATAAGCTCCGCCTACAAATATTCATGAGGGAGTAGTCCTTCCTTGCAGGGAGTAGTCCTATTTTGGGGAGGGAGTAGCTCTCAGATGAAGAGATATAAGTGATTTAAAGGAAATATGACATTTTATCATATATAGGGAAAACTCAGTAGATGTATAATAATAACGAATATCAACTGTATCGGTAAGTAAGCATCTACATTACAGCATAAACGTACGACTTGTAACATTGAAATTAATAAACAAACTTGAGTTTTTTTTATTGTAAACCCCATTTTTATGATAAAACTACTTACTACGTCCAATTAGTATGCAAATGATTTCCAACTACCAGTTTTTTAACTCCAAAACGAAAGTTTCAAATGCCCCGCGCAAATACGAAACTTCTCCCTGTCCAAACCGAACAAACGGGTGTAGGATGCGCACGCACTCCCTACTTCCTCTAATCTAAAAACGAACACAACAACTAAAAGCAAAAGGCCTAAAGGAGCCGGAGGAGCCAGGGAGGAGGGTGAGACTCACATTGGACATGGTAAGTAGTTTTATCATAAAAATGGGTTTTACAATAAAATACCGCAATTTGATATCAAAAACAATACTTTCCACGTCCAATTATTATGCGAATTCGTCTTGCCTAGTGGATCCTCCGATCCGGCAGGACCATGGCTCATCCAGGAGGACGGTACACCGGTCACAATCAATTGGAACCTAAGTCCCGAGGAAAAGCTCTTATATAGAGCATCCCAAATTAAAAAAACAGAAAGATCATTGTCAAGCAAAGATTTTCCGTCGCAATGCTAACGCATAAAACCCCCAGAGAACACTCTACTCTGAGGTGGGTGGGCAAGTCACTGACTGGGCAACAACCAACGGACCAAAAGAGTAAAGTTTGTCTGAGAAGGACGACAGTGATCACAGATAGAACTCTGTAAAAGTAGTGTGTTCTCGCCAAAAGGCTGAGGACATAACCTCTGAAAAGGGAGAGCCATTGAGAAGGGTCCAAGATGCTACTAGAGCCCTAACCTCATGGGCCCTTACCTTGAAAAGCCTTCTGACATCATCATCAGAAGAATCATAAGCCAGCCCAATAACCTGGCAAATCCATCGGAATAACGGAGAGCTCTGACAGGGCAGGGAAGAGGATTACGCTCGTCCTTACCAACCAGGTCAGAGAGAGAAGGAATGCGGATAGAATTTCAAGGAGGCTTGACTCAAAATATCGTAAGGTACTACCAAAAGGGACCCCAAAACCAAAGTTAAATCCCATTGAGGAGTTAAACGCCTAACTCTAGGTCTCTCAATGGTAAATCCTCTGATGAGGGCGGACAAGGAGGAGGGAGATCCTACCTTTGGTCGTGCTGCATAAGATAAGATACCAGCTATAGCAGACCGATAGCCGGCAATGGTACCAGGAACTAAATTCTTACTGCGGAACTATTGCATTAAAAAACTCTGCAATTAGGGGAACAGATGCCTTGAGTGGATGAACCTGCCTCTGACCACACCAATCGCAGAAGATGCTCCACCTAGACTGGGAGACTGCCGTGGAAGAAGACCTGATGGACCTAGCGATACAGTCTGACACCGGTCCAGAAAACCCCCTCCTGCGTGAGACCACTGCGTGAGAGCTGCCAATCCGTCAGAACCGGCCGAATACGTCTTGACAGGGTGTCTGCAAGGACACTGAGTCTGCCCGGAAGGTGCTTGACCTGAATGGTTAGACACAATTCCTGGCAAAGTAGCAAAATGTGAATGGCAAGGGCACACATGACGTGAGAGCTGGTGCCCCCTTCCTTCTGCAGATAAGCTTCAACAGTTGAGTTGTCTGTTGCCACGCAAATCACCTGGTTTTGCAGACAAGACCTGAGGTACTGAATGGCCAACAACAATTCCCTTATTTCGAACACATTGATGTGCTCGGAAAGATGATCCTCTGTCCACGAACCTGAGCGAGCCTGACCGTTCAGGTACGCCCCAAACATGTCTTGGACGCAACGGTATACAGGGTCATGGTGGGCGAGCTCCTGTGCAAGGACACCCCCTTCAGGACATTGTTCCGCGACGCAGGAACCCAATTGCTGAGAGGAAACATCTGCAGAGGTCTGATGTGCAGTCTGCCCAGAAGAAGTACATCTGCAAGTGAGTTGAGAAACCACAGCAAACCAACGAACCTGTACCACAGAACTCTGGATAAACAGAAGCACCAGACTCCTTGCCTTGATGAATTCTGAGTTGGAAGGACTATGCCCTTGGCTACGATTGAAGGCACTTAGGTCTTTAATCGGGCGCCAAGCTCCCGACTTCTTCTTCACCAGAAAAATTCGGGAAAAGAAGTCTAAAGAGCACCGGTACCGTGGGAGCTCCTCTACTGCACCCTTCTCGACTAGGGTAGCAATTTCTCGTATGACAGCTAAAGCCTTCTCTGGATCTCCCGAAGGTGGGAACAAGATTTGCTCTGCTGTGAGCGGAGGTTCCCGTAAAACGGGATGCTCAATCCTTCCGCGTCTATTGACAATGTCCAACTGTCCTAAGTAATCTCTTTCCATTTCAAAGGAAAGCGGACAGTCGACCTCCTACTGG